AACCTCTTTTCACACACCATGCATTTATAGGGTCTGTCCTCTCTGTCAATCCTTTGATGGCAATTAATATCACTACTCTCACTTAAGCTCTTTCCAAACTCCATGCAGCTATATGTTTTGTCATTTGAGGGGATCTTCTGATGGTGCGTCAGATTACGACTTGTACAGAATTCACTTTGGCTCTTTGAAGGCACTGCATATTGTGGTTTAAATAACCTCCATTGCTTCTCATTCTCATTCTCCAGCCCATCACCACCACCTGTGTGTGGGGGGAAAAGGCAGAAAATCTCATTAGAATTTAAAATGATGGCTGGGGGCGGGGTATCTCCCCGTCATAAATATGCCCATCTGACGTCAGCATTGGTAACAACAAATTGTCAAACTAAGAAATGTTGGGTTGAAAATGTTATGTAAGAGACTCTTAATGATATACAAGCGTTTTGTAACACTGATCCATATGAAGGCTGTACTGTTGTTAGGTCAATCTGCTCAAGTATTTGCATCTAAGGCCTTTCAAAATGGTTTTGTAGCAGGGTGGCTGTGAGGACAGCCTTGGACAAAATTACTATGTAGTGGCTCGGCTGGTTTATAATCCTGGCAGTTAAAGGGAAGCAAAGGGAAGTGTATGAGACTTTTGCACATGTGGGTGTCCACTGGATATTAGCCACATACTATACATTGTGAGTGGGCTGCAGTGGCTCAGTGGCTAACACGCTGAGCTTGTCAATCAAAAAGGTTTGCATTTTGAAACCCTAGTGCCATGTAACGGAGTGAACTCCCGTTAGTTGTCCCAGCTTCTGGCCAACCTACCAGTCCGAAAGCATGTAAAAATGTAAGTAGAAAAATAGGGACCTCCTTGATGGGAAGGTAACAGTGTTCCTTGAGCCTTTGGCGTTTTGTCATGCCGGCTTTATGACCATGGAGACACCTTCGGACAGGACTTGTTTTTCGGTTTTGAAACGGAGATGAGCACCGCTAGAGTTGGGAATAACTAGCACATATGTGCGAGGAGAACCTTTCCCTTTACATTGTGGCTGTGATTTTCCTGAGAATAGGAAAGATTTTACAGGTGGTAGTCATTAGAGTTCTCACCACCGTATGCAACTGAGTGCATGTATCTTTTCTCTTTAATTCCCACTTAAAACACCTTTCCTAATCAATAGAACCCAGAGCAAAGAGGATCCTTACCCA